TGTTGAGATTTATTTTAATTATTGTTTAGATTCTCTACAAACAGATTCAGCAGCCTTTTGTATGTACAGGAGTTTTTTAGCTATTATATATGTTCCACTGTAATCGAAATTGAATACATGAGAGGTATGCTTTTCTCCTATAAAATAATTTCTTTCTCTGTATTTTTGACTCTTCAGCCAGAGGCAGCAGCACTCCGGCGCCGAGAAGAACCACTTGTGGGCGTTGAGGCTGAAGGAATTTGATTTCTCGACGCCGTCGATGAAGTGGCGGAACTCGGGGCAAATGCAGGCGCTGCCGCCGTACGAAGCGTCGACGTGGACCCAAATTCCATGATGCTGAGCTAGGTCGCAGAGTGGGGGAAGTGGGTCGACGGCGTTGGTGGAAGTTGTTCCGACGGTTGCGCAGAGGTAAAGGGGGACAAAGCCTTTTTGGATGTCGGATTGGATTCCCATTTTTAGAGAGTTTGGAGACAGAGCAAATGACTCTGTTTTTCTCGTTTTGATTACTCGAAAATTGTCTGGGGCAATACCTGCGTCAAACTCAACAACAACATTAATAAATAAGTCCCCGTTTATGAGTCCCATTTTGAGAACCAATCTTCTTTTGAGTTATATGGTTAGATTGGTGAAAAATTAACCCATGGAATTGTAAAAAAAAAAAATACTAAAGATGAAATAGTTATCAAATGGCACAATATGTACTCCTTTCCAAGCCTACTAGAGTTGATTACTCTATCATATAGAGAGTTAAAAAATTATAATATGAAATAGTATATTTACCTAAATTTTATTATTTTTTAGTGTAATTATGTATTATTTTAAACATTAAAAATATAACAAGGTTAGTTTTAGAATTTCCAATATGCCCTTACGTGCTTACCGAAACCATCCCCATTTATACAATCCAAATTTTTACTGCCTGTCGTCTATTGAATTCAATTCGGTGGTTGGATATCACTTACATCAGTTGGTGGTTGAATCTATATTTCAATTTATCTATTTTTTTTAGTAGGAGATATATACATGGTGAAACACTTTATTAGAAAAATGGTTATTGTTTTTGGTTATTTTGTTAATTTTGTAACCACTAGTAAGTTAATGGTTTTATTGTAAATTATTTATTAGTACTGTACAATTAACTATACATATTGTATAAAGAAAAAATGCAATTAACTGTGACCACCATTGCAAAATTGACCGTTCGTAATTTTCTCTTTTAATTGTCAAATATTCAGAAGCTAAGTATTTTTTATTCTGTAAACATCAAGACCATGTGATTTGTGTGGAGAGCAATTACTCATTCGTCGATAATAAATGTGACCAAACAATTGTTAAGCTTCTTTTTTATCTTCTTTTCAATATAGACCTACCAATAATAAATGGTTTTTTTTTTAATTTGGTTGAAAAAACCAAAAAAGTTTAAGTTTGATTGCTCTTAATTATTTTTAAGAAAGAAGTAAGGAGAAAACGAAAGTAGCTAGACAATATTGATAATTTAGAAAAAGGAAAATGGTAAAGAATGAGAGAATTTTAACGAATTGTTTGCTTAACATATAGGAAGACATATTGCAATATTGTGTTTTATATTAATAAAAATATACAAATTTTCACGCATGCTCTAGCTAGAGCCCTAATATTTCCCAAGTCGAGGGATTTCCCAAATTGACACCATGACTTAACCTATAATTTATTTTTACATTTTAGTAACTAAGTTTGTTTATTAATTTTTAGGTCCATTTGATAAAAATTTCGTTTTTAATTTTAGCTTTCAAGAGTTATATTTTGTTTTCACAATCTATATGATATCTTTTTCACATTTTTTATAAATGCATTTGAATTTTTAGTCAAATTTTTAAAATAAGAACAAGTTTCTAAAAAAAAAAAAAAATTAATTTTTAAATTTTGGCTTAAATTGAAAAAAATTGTTTTTAAAAAGTGTGGATAAGAAAGGAGAGAAACACATGAGTGAGAGAAATTTTTGTAAAAGCATAATTTTCAAAAACAAAAGCGAATAAGAAAATGGTTATAAAATGGATTCTAATTTTTTTTTCTAGATATAAGCAAACCCTTTTTCAATAATGCTAAACACTATATCTACTAAAGTTACAAGGTAGAAATTGAAAATAAGCAAGCATAAATTTAGTTTACTTATATAAAATATACGGAACGTTTTTTTAATGCTAAATATCTGTGTACTAAAGTCTATTATTTAGTTACACTTAAAATATTAACTTAAATTGGAAAAAAAATTAGGAAGAAGATTGAAAAAATAGTATATTCTTTGATATTTTCATGACTATCTTTTTTTTTTTTTGTTATTATTTTTTATAACAATACAACTCTCACTTTCTGTTTTTTTTTTCTTTTAAGTTAAACAAAGGAGTATAGATAAAACTCTTAACATTATGAAATGTATTGAATACCTCATCGTCTAACCATAACTCAAATGGTCAATTCTCTTACTACTGATAGAGATATCTAAGAGATTTATGAGCTTCAAAATAAATGAGTTCAATTTTTTTTAAAACCATAAAACTAAAACGAAATTGTGCATGTGTGTTTTTCTAGTACAATATGAGGGTAAGGAGTCAGACTCATTTTGGTCGGAGATAGATATGTTTGTAGAACCATAAATTTTGGGCAAATCATAAACGATCACGTCATTATCTATTTTATTTATGCATTAATTATATATTAACCCTAAATTAAAATTAAAGATAATTTGACAATTAAAATATGTAATTGGGTCATATGAGTATTGGGGTTGGAATCTATTTGATTCACAAACTTGGCACAAAATCCAATTTACCATGAAATAAAGTGGATTAATATTTAAATTTAAATAAATCCATTTAAAGAATTGGGCTTTGCCCAAAATTATCCAAGCCCAATGGCCCACTAAAGCTTATGGAAACCTCTATAAATAGAGGGGACCTCATTCATTTTCGGGGAATTCGCACAAAATTAAAGACTATCTGAAAACTTGAAGATTCGAAGACCACCTGAAGACTTTGAAGACTTGAAGACTTTCGAAAAACATAGAACTTCGATCTGAATTCAAGAACAACCATCTCAATCTTCACATCAAGTTTGAGAGAAGAAATCAGAGGATAAGATTAGAGATTGAATCCACTACATAACACATACAAACAAATATAAAAGTTCAACTCCACGAAATATAATTTCTCCGAAAATTTCGTACGAACAGTCTTAACCAATTGAGTTATATGTTCGATTTGGCAAATGAAATTGTGTTTTACACGTAAGAATAGTTACTACCTTTCTTATATGATTTATTTTAGTTGTGCCCATTTTTTTTATATAGACTTGTAAAGTTCAGACATTTTAGTAATTTCCAGCGTTATCAATCTTGTCATACTAGAAATGTATAATAATCGTACTAAAAAAATGTATAATAATCGTATGTTAATAGTTAAGCATATGAAAGATGAAAAAGTTGGCCATGGTTTGATGTTAGGCCAAAATCAAATTTAATTACAATTTTGGTCATGGAAAAAAGTTGACTATTTTGAAATGTAAATTAAAGAAAAAAAAAAAAAGAAAAGAAACGTGCATAAAGAAAACTTATTTCTAAAGAAAACAAACAGAATCACCATGTGATGGCTCTGACAATTAAATATACAAACTACTTTTCCATAATAGTGAAATTAATTTCTATCACCTACCCAAATGTTTCTTTTAAGATTTGATAAAAATAATTTTCTATGAACAAAATTTTTTTTCTTTAGAAATAACATAAATGGAAGAGGAGAATTCAAGGAAAAAAAATTTATTGAAAACTTTAAATTAACTAGACTTTATTAATTCAAAGTCTAGTTAATTAGATTGAAGATAGGTACTCCCCTTTTTTTTATGTATCTCTAGCCCAAAATCAAATTAAATACTCTCTCCAAGTAAAATAACTATTATTAAAAACGTGGTCAATCGGTACCTAATTGATAGGTGATCAAATGGATTACGACATATATCCTTAACCAAAAAGTTAAAAAGTATCGAATCTCGACTCTATATCCTTCTATTTTGATGGGTTGTAATTTTTCATCTTCGTTTTAAGAGTTTGAATTATTCATTCTATATAAAATCAGAAAAAGAAGATGCCCATCCAATGGGAATTGTCTCGTGGGAATGTAGAATTTCTTGGCATCTCAAGATGTTCGAGTATTCTAGGATGTCCATACAGGAGATAGCCAACGTATTTTGGGTGCACTTTTGAAATATGGGTTTCAAAGATTTCGGTGTCAAGGGCATCCATTCTTTACCTTTTTTTGCCCTTCATTTTTTTCTTCGTATATTCTCTTTATTTTTTTTAAAAAAATCTTTATTTTATTTTTAAAATTATAATTTAAATAAATTAATTTACTTATTGCCTAATAAACAAGCAATTTAAGTATATTTGTATCTTACATGTATAATAAACTGCAATTAAATTATATAATATCTTACTTTAGTTTTAATATTTCAAAAGAATTATATTATTAATACTTTTTTATTATCACAAATAAACAAATTTATTATATTAAATAGATGTATAAATTATATGAATATTTTATAATGGTATTTTTAGAATATTATATAAATTTAACATATTCTTAATAATAAATCCTACTAAACAAACTTTCAATATTTCATCAATATCTCCTATTTTTTGAGAAATCGTTATTGCATCAAAAATTTTCTTTTTTACGTTTGCAAAGGAAAAAAAATCATACCAATAAAGCAAAGAGATAATTCCAGATATCATTAGATGTGAGGCATCTAAATCCTTAAAAACAAATAGCTTCCACTAATCTGAATCCTCGACGAATCAATGGCGTGGCAAGCTGTTGCCGAAGTCACATTCTATTTCATCCGCAGCCTTAATGTGTGAATACAGCAACACCAAAGTATACCCCTTTTATTTATGCAATAAATAAAAAATTTTAAAAAAAAGGAGACCACATAATTTTGAATACAATTTAAAATATTGATGTGATAAGCAGTAAACGAAAGAAACATTAAAATTATTTTCCTGTATGAAACATTAAAACAAAATTACATTGTGAACAACATACACTCTAAATTTCTTGAGAGAAACATGAACCAAAAAACTGTACCTTTGGCCAGCCCAATTCTAGTTCTCATCCTGTTGATCTTATCCTCTCCGGCGATCTCGCCGTCGCCGGCGGATGGGAAGAGCCACTTCGTGCTGGTGCACGGGGGTTGCTTTGGGGCGTGGTCATGGTACAAGGTCTCCACCATCCTCCAGGCTTCCGGCCACGCCGTCACGGCGCTGGACATGGCCGCCTCCGGCATCGATCCGCGCCAGCCCAAGACAATCTCCTCCGCCGCTGACTATTTTCAGCCTTTGAATGACTTCTTGGCTGCTCTGCCTCCCGGCGAGAGGGTCGTTCTTGTTGCTCACAGCTTCGGTGGGCTCGGACTCGCCGTAGCTATGGAGAATTTCCCGGAGAAGATCGCCGCCGCTGTTTTTGTGGCCGCCGTAATGCCGGGCCCTAATCTCACAGTTTCCGCTATTGGGATAGAGGTAATTAAGAGCCGGCCTATTTTTTAAAACTTTTATACAATTTTAATAATATTCTCAAAAAAAAAAAGAAATATAGGAAATATAGTTAGTTGCAAAATGCATATATTTTTTAAGAAAATTGAAAACGAGAATGATACCAATCACCCTTATATTTCTTGTTTCTTATTTTTTGAAAACATTAGTATACAAATTTTGAAAATAATGAAAAACAAATTTTTTGTTTCTCATTTCTAGTTTAAACAAATTTTTTGTTTCTCATTTCTAGTTTTAATTTACTACGGGACACAAATATAAATATTATTTGATCATTCTAATTTACTACGGGACACAAATATAAATATTATTTGATCTGGTGTCCAAATCAATAGAGACCATAGAATTATGAAAACGTTATCCACCAATTTCGGAAAATTTTCACCACAATTTCGGTGCTCCAATAACATATGAAGGAGAATTATTCACATCTATTAATAATAATAGTAATATACCAAATTATGAAAACTTAGAGATAGTAATCAAGATGAAAGACAGATTTAACCCTTTCCTTTGGTTTTGTTTATGGTATATCTGAAAATTAAATTAAAAGGATGAGAAGCAACGATTTCCGGCGTTGGATAGCCATTATCTATACGAAAATGGAGAGGATAAGCCTCCAACGTCTTATATTTTGGGGCCGCAGAAGTTAGCAAAACATCTCTTTCCACTCTCACCACCACAGGTATATATATAACCATAAATTTAATAAATTTATTTATATTATATGTGTGAATATATATATATATATTATATATATGTGCAGGATTTGACATTGGCGAAGGCGTTGGTGAGGCCTCTTCCTGTGTTTGAAACCAAAGATTCTGAGTTTAATTTCACAGAAGAGAGATATGGGTCTGTGAAAAGGGGTGTAATTGTAACGGAGAAAGATTTAATGGCGACCAGAAAATTTCAAATGTGGATGATTCAGAACAATCCGCCTCATATTACAGTGGAGATTAGAGCATCCGACCATATGGCCATGGCGTCCAAGCCACGCCAGTTTGCCCGTCAACTCCAACGCATTGCCAACCAACTCTTCCTGTTCGACTTTTGATAATTGTCACTCTATTTTCTATTCAACGTAAGACTTTATTTGTTTTTTTCTGTATGGGATTAATATAATGCAGGAATATGGAGACTGAATTGCTGTTTATGTTTTTTTTTCTTTTCTACCCAGAAATTGGGTTTTTTTTTTCCCTCTCCGAGTTTCACCCAAAGATACAGACAGTTTATTTCAGATTTTGATCTTCGACTCTAAATTTCATGGATCTCTTCCGTCTTCCCACTGAATTCCGTTAGAATTCGAATAATAGAAAATTTATCTTTATCAAGAAATAAGAAAGAAATGGAGGATAAAGAATCGAAGATAATCGAGAGGGGAGGGAGCGAGAAGATAAAGAATGGAAGAGAGAGGAAGAGAAGAAGATGAAGAATAAGGATAAAAAATGGGAGGAGAAAGAGGAAGAGAGGTTTTAAAAAAAAGAGCGCGAGATAATTTGGTCATACGAAAGAGATGTATGGCTCAAACAAAGATATTACTTTAATTTAGAGGAAGACTCTTCTCGTGTGACCTACGTAATACCCTTTTGCTAATTTAATACTAGTTCGACGGAAGGTAATTGCATCGATGAAACATATTAGTAGAGGGGTAAATAAAGTGAATTAATACTAGTTTAATAGCTCTAAAAAATGACTTCAAGGGGAGGAAGGTTAACTCGTAAAAAAAGATATGTAGGATGTGAGGACTTTAAAAGAAAAGTTCAGTAAAAGTATTTTTACTGGAAAGATATATTTAGAATGGTTTTTGGTGGAGAGTGGAACAAAAAGAGAGGAACCTTTCAATAAAGGACCACCATGGTCTGAATTATTTACATTTATTTATTCAATTCCAATATCGATAATTGACTTGGCACGAAGATAATGCAATCTCATCTTGAATCCATTGAGTGTATGCCACGTAAGTCCTATTCAGATGCCTATTTCGCAATGATAACAATTTAGTTCTATTTTATTTTGCACTTTTTCATCACAATTTTTTTAAAAATACTTTATTTTAAATTTATTCCAAATGTATATATCAACACTCAAACTATTTTCATTAATACATTTAAAAAATTATAGGTACCTATGCCACTTCACAATTCGAGTGGCATGGTACTTTGTTGGTGTCATGTATTCTTTTACAATGATAGTATGGAACCGTCGAATTAGTTTTTTTGATTTCAAAAATTTCAATTCTAATAGTTTTATTTCAATTTTAATTTGATTTTAGAATTTTAAAGACTTTCATTTCACTAATTTCATCTTTATCATTATCATATTGAGTTATATAGCATATTATTGTGTAATAGAGAAAAGGGGTGGGTCGAGTTTCCGTCGACACGATTAAAGCATTGCATGTGTTTTTTTTTTTTCGTCTCGAAATTTCTGAAAGTAAGTACTTTGTTCAATTGTTAGTCTTACATCATTTATTAATTAGTCCTTAGCTTTAGCCACACCATACAAAACATGAACCAAATAACCATATTTTTCAACAGCTCACATTTGGTTCTCATCCTCCTCCTCATATCCTCTCCGGCGATCTCAGCCGCCCCGTCACCATCGCCGGCTGATCGGAAAACCCACTTTGTGCTGGTCCATGGGGCTTGCCATGGGGCCTGGTCATGGTACAAGGTCTCCGCCATCCTCCAATCCTCCGCCCACACCGTCACCACACTCGACATGGCCGCCTCCGGCATCGACCCGCGCCAGGCCAAGACCATCTCCTCCACCTTCCACTATTTTCAGCCCTTGACGGAGCTCTTGGCTGCCCTGCCTTCCGGCGAGAGGGTTGTTCTCGTCGGCCACAGCTTCGGTGGGCTCGGGGTCGCTTTAGCAATGCAGAACTTCCCGGAGAAGATCTCCGCCGCTGTTTTTGTCGCCGCCACCATGCCTGGCCCCAATCTCAGTGTTTCCGCCATTCGTAGAGAGGTAATTTCTCACTCTCCATCTGTCATGAAAAAATAATTGAATGAAGTTGCACAATTTGACTGCTTATAATAACTGTTACATGCATATTCGAAAATCTTCCTACCTCATCTTTCTGTATATGAGTTAAATTCACTTTGACAAATCTTACCCCTTCGTTAATAACCCATTTTAAAGTTATTTATATAAAATTATCAGCCACGTTCATCTAGGGATCTCTTCCAAATAATTTCTCCCAATCTTGTGCCTTTAATTTCAGTTTTCCACAATTTCCATTTTGGTTAGTTTCCAACTTTGTCTCGATCATTGGACGTATCTTTCTTTGACAGCTAGGTGACATATAAAGTCATAAAGTAGGCGTACAGACAAATTCAAATGGGCTATCTAGACTTGTCCAGTAATAATTACTAATTTTATCCTTTATATACATGTACTTTACACGGCATGCATGGTTGGCTACCTAAACATGTGTTGTGTCTCGATGAATGTCTGGGTGAGGATTACTCTAATTAATATCTTCGTAGTGATATGATATTGTCTATTTTTTACATAACTTTCATAGCTTACAGATAATTGTCCTGATTTTTATGTCATAGATCATCTTCTTCCTTAACCAGTGGGGGAGACTTTATTTACATTCTTCTTACAAATACAACATGTCACACATAAGGGCTTTCTTTGATTTTGTTTTTGGTGCATGTGAAAATTAAAGGCTGAAAAGGAACCAACTCCACCATTGGACAGCCATTATTTATACGAAAATGGAGAGGCAGAGCCTCCAACTTCTTACATCTTGGGGCCACAGAAGTTAGCAGAACATCTGTATCCACTCTCACCATCAGCGGTACATATCTTTGGCTGTCTATGGGCGGTCAAATTTGTCTTCGTCATCATTGAAAAATTGACAACTCATCATAAAAAAGAAGTATATATTTTTGCATTATTTCTCTCGTTGCAGGATCTGATATTGGCAAAGGAGTTGGTGAGGCCTCTTCCTATGTTTGAAATCGAGGATTCAGAATTTGAGTTCACTGAGGAGAGATATGGGTGTGTGAAAAGGGCTATGGTTGTAACAGAGAGAGATTTAACGATGACCAAAAAACTTCAGATGTGGATGATTCAGAAAAACCCACCACATATTACACTGGAGATTAAAGGATCTGACCATATGGCTATGGCCTCCAAGCCACTTGAGCTCGCCCATCAACTCCAATGTATTGCCCACCAACTCAATCTATTTTGACTTTTGATCTCTCTCCAAGGATCTTTTCTTACTTCCAACTTTTCTAAAGGCATTTACGAGTTCGTATGAATGCAACGCTCAAGTGTGAGAATTTGAATATCTTACTTCAAAGGAATAGGGGAAGCTATGTTCATGTTAGCATATGCAACCTATGAAAAAGAAATAAATCTTTTACCTCTTATATTTTGGGTGTGAGCTTAATTAAGTTGAGAAGTAGTCACACTAATATCCTGTTTAGTTGAGTATTGAATTTATTTTTTTGTTAAATTATAAACATTAACTTTTTAAGAACTTATCAAACTAATCCATTTTAAATCGACATTTAATTATATATACTACTATTCAATGGAAGATAATTAGTAAGATTAAACAACAATCTTTAAATTAAATAAACGTTGAAGTTGTGATATTATTTATTTTAGTCCAACATGTGAGGTTGGAGAATATTCGAATTCACAAGTTTTTGTCAAATATAGATGCTTCTTAAACTAGTTGAACTTTATGTCCTTGGCTACTTATGATATTATTAAAAGTTTAGTGAAACAAGAAAGAATTAAATTATTCTGCACAAATCTATCACTAACTTTGTGACAATTTCATCTCATGAATCAACAATAAAGATTTAGAATAATATATCAATATGTGCTAAGCAAAGTATGCCTAAAATTAATGGCTCTAATTAAATTTAGCCATGCCAACTACTCATCAATGAGATGAGATTTCCCAAAGAGATAGCTCCAAAAACTCCCACTTGATTTCTTTTCAAATACCAAACTCTTCCCCTTTGTCAAGACTTAACCCCTAATCTCCAAAGTTGTTAAGACATAATTGTCCTCTTTTTAAACACCATATTTTACAACTTTAAGCAACAATTAATCTACACACCATAAATCACATCAGCACAAACAAACAAATTACAAAATCCTCCACTCTCCCTTCTGGTTCATGGATCAGAATAAACCCTAATTGAGTTTCAGTGGTTGTGATTTGCTGAGCACTTTCATTATCTTATCAATTTTTATATTTCCAAAGACTTTTACCCTCATTATTACTTCAACTTCAATAATTTGGATAACTATTGATGGGTATTCTGATTTCAATTGAGAGGACATTGTTCCTATCATTTTTATTGAATAAATATAATGATAGTTTTCAGATAGGATAAGATAAATTTGAATAACTTAATTCAAATCCTATCATTCATTTTATGTTACATCTCTATGTTGGCTAAAATTCTATTTGATATAGTAATAATTTACTAAGTTGGTAAGATTTGTCTATAGAATAAGCAAGCCAATTTGAGTAAGAAAATGATAGTTCTAATGATTATTCTAATTGATTTTATAAATTTGAATAGGCTATGTATATATAAGGGGTGGGGTTTGTGCTTATTGTAATTAGTTTCATGTATATGTTGAAGTTTTGGGTTTTTTTTTTTTTTCAAAGAGGTACCATTTCATTAGGAGGTATGTTAAGCTAGGAACCTACATTAAAAAAGGAAGAGCCTTAAAAAAAGGCGTAACAATAAATGGTAGCTATAGAGTAATTAAAAAAAGATTTGATTTGGAGGATCAAGATGAGACATTTATATTGATGTCTTCCCAAAATGAAGCATTAGATCTAATAATCTCTGAAAAATGTGGTTGTTTACGTGGAACCTAATGAAGCATTAGATCTAATAATCTCCGAAAAATGTGGTTGTTTCGTTCCAACCATAGGTTCCACGTAAGAGATTCAATGGCGTTACTCCAAAATTTTGGTTTTCTTTTACTATAAATTATAATAAAACAAAACCCTTTTCTCTCTTTTCTGTAGTACAACATGTGGGATGAGAGATCGAGCTGATAACCTCTTAGTTAGAGATATATGTCAATTATCGTTGAGCTATGCTCGCTTTGACAACAAAACTCTTCTAAAAATGATGATATATATATGTTTGAACTCAAATTAAATATGCCACGATGCAACATTTGAATCCAAATTAGATAGGTGACATCATAAATTTAAATTTGATTGATCCAATTTCATTTTATGAAGAAGTACTTGTGCATATTAATAACAATGGAAGAAAAACAAATATGAAATTACAGAGAGATCTCGACTTAACTGACCTGCCTGTGTTCCAGGGTTAGTCACCATCCAATTAGAATCTCCTTACGCGTCAAGGCTCCCCCTCGCCCTCTCGGATTCTTGCTTAAAATGTCGGCAAAAAAAATCTCCAGCTTAGCTGTCACTGCTAGCTGAAGCGACTACGTGGCAGCATTCGATTGGACAGAAAAGGCTCTCGTCAGCTTCCCAGGAAGTCTGACCAACACTGACAGCTCTCCGGCATTATAAAAACCGCACCATCCAACAACTTACACTCTGTTTTGTGTCGGCACAAAAATCCATTCCACTCCCCCAATCTCCTCTTCATAATTCATAAGAATTCATATTATTTTCCCTCAAATTCCCACTTTCAAAGTTTCAATCTTTTTTCAATTTTCAGCTTCCTCTGCCCTGCCCTGCCCCAACCCAAAAATGATGAAGAGGAAACCCAATCATCAGAATGTGGTTGGCGCCTCGCCGACGTCGTCTTCTTCCTCGACCAAATGGGAAATCAGGCCCGGCGGAATGCTGGTCCAGAAGCGCACCGAGAAATCGGAGTCTTCGGCGACGATTCTCCGACTTCGAATCGCCTTCGGAGCCGTCCGATTAGAGATCCAGATCAGCTCACAAGCAACATTCGGTAATTGGGTCGTCACTTGATAGTACACCCAATCGTCTTAACTATTATGAATGATCAGTTGATACAGGACACCCAATCCATCAGCTTAAGTTTATGGATTGAGTTGTAGTTTATTCATTCTTAATATTGGTTGTTGATCTAGACAGAGTTGGTTTTGGGTGTTGAACTTCAGGGGAGGTGAAGAGGGCGGTGGCGGCGGAGACGGGGCTGAAGGCGACGGAGCAGAAGGTGTTATACAGAGGGAAAGAGAGGGAAAATGGAGAATATTTGGAGGCGTGTGGAGTTAAAGACAGATCGAAAATGGTGGTGGTGGAGGATCCGGCCAGCATCGAGAGAAGATACATTGAGACAACAAGAAACGCCAAAATCAACACCGCTCATCGTGCCATATCCCACGTCTCCATGGACCTTGATAAGCTGGCGGACCAGGTCATCCCCACCTTTTTTTTCCTTTTTTATCTCTCCTTTCTTTACTTTACTATAAATATTTTTAAATTCAAATTAGAAACTTTACCATAATCGGAACGAAAATTTAATCAAAATAATAAAAATATTATGAATGAGAATTCCTATATCTTTAGTAAATGTCATCAAAGTTAATAAACATTTTGTATTCACAGCCCTTTGGAGTCTAGATTTAACTATCATTAGTTTTTTAGTATGACTTTTAATTTGGATTTTACGTTAATTTACCAGTTTATTGGGACTTTTTGGAGGTGTTTGAGATAAGTCTTCGAATTTAAAAAGTATTGTTATATTTTGAGATATTTGTATCATAAATTTATGAAGTCTAAAAGGGACTAATAGTTTGCCGATGATAAATCGAAAAGAAAAAGAAATGATATTTATTGAAACTGTGTTTTTAAAAGTAAGGAAATAAAATTTTAAATAGTAACCTATACAAACAATTTTTTGGAAATTTACACCCCAAATAATCCCAACTTTTTGTTTGGAATTTTTAGAATTGAAATGGGAATTTAACTAGAGTTGAATTACATTTTAAGTTGTGTTTTTAAAAGCTTTGATATTAACTCTATACTTCAAGTTAAAGCTTATCAAACATTCCTGTCACAGTAAGGTATAATGGAAATACCAGACTTTTTATGGCATACTTCAACATGAGACTAATCCAAATCCCTTTTTTCACCTTTCAATCAAAATGATATTTTAAAGTATGGTTTCAAATAATATAGTTTTAGAAGGGAAATAATGAAAAGAATTGCAAACACAGGTTTCAACAATAGAAGAGTCAATCTCAAGTGGAGTGAAGGTTCCAGAAATTCAGATCAGCACTCTGATAGAAATGCTGATGATGCAAGCCATCAAACTAGACAACATTGTTGCAGAAGGAGATGCTTCTACTCAGAAACTTTTACAGGTAATTAACCAACCTCTTCTTTTCCTTTCCATACATAATCCGAACCCGAAACCAAAGCCTTTGCCTATAAGGACTAAAACCGACCCGAACCGAATAAAAAAAGATTCGAATATCGGCCTACTTTAAGCCGATTTAACCCAACTTCTTTGTTGGAATATGCAGGGAAAGAGAGTGCAGAAATGTGTGGAAATGCTTGATGTGCTGAAGGTAACAAATGCAAGAGTGAAAGTTGTAAAGCCTGTAATTGTGACTACAAAATGGGAGACTT